AATAAAAGAGAAGCCATTCCTATAGCGTATCTTTAGCAGAGTCCCGTCCAAGTTGTCTTTTCTATAAATTTGTTAATTATGGATTTTTCCGTAACTTATTCCACTTGCTTAAAAAATTGACCTATAATGTAGTGACTATTTTATAACCTTTGACATTTAATGAAGATATTATATATTTGTTCATTTTAAAGGTTTATAAATCTGCCGATTGTTGCAAACCTGATGGACTGGCAAAAAAATACTCGTTTTTAATACAGATAGATATATATATATAGTACATGAAAGACTTGCGCGTTCATTCCAAAAAAGATATCGCTTGTCGCATCATCTCGGTTTGAGAGCATCGCCCTAACTGTATTAACTAGTATCGGAATCCTAAGGCCTAGGCCACTTAAAGGGTAAGGTCAAATTAGCCCCGAAGAAGCTCGGTGTGCTGAACAGATCGAGGCAGTATTTCACTCGAGCCCACCGCCTCCAACTCTATAAGGCGCAAGTCCGCCCGAATTATGGAATACAGCTCTCATCTCCTTGCAGGGGTACCCTTATTTTGTTTGCACCCCAGGAATTGTTTGGACTAATACTACGAGCAACTTTCCCCTATCGTTCCAAACGCAAAATGTTCATACCCATAATAAATAAAAGAATAAATCACTTGGATAATTGGCACTCGACCACTGTGCGCTTTTCGGGACACTTTTTGCCTCGCACAACCAATCTGTGAAACAAATTTTCGTCTGCGGTATTTCCGGACCGATCCGACGTTCAAGAAAAGAGCGTACTCCTTCAATTGCTAGCTAGCAACGCGCATGTGGCTTCTGGATTGCAGGCGTTTATAGGTGGCGGTAGTCACTTTCCATCAGGTGACTTATCTTATCGTTTACCCACTCTATCATAAAACAGAAAAACATATACCAAAAATTGTTATTTGCTAATAACTTAAAAACGAAAAACAGGATCTTCGGACTTTTGCATCACTATAATGAATCTCTGAACAAAAACTTAAGGAATGAAAGCGGAGGTTATTTTCCTAAATATCCTGCAAATATTCCAATTATTTGTAAATATTGCTTTTTTGTCTGTTTAAACAAATATTTACGCAATACCCTTCTATCAATGTAAATATTTGTAAGTATTTGGTGACGTGTTAAGTCATTACTGGATGTCGTTCGAACCCGTAGATAACCTTTTGATCACCAGTACATATCCCAACAGGGAATACCATTATTGATAATGATTATTGCTACGTTCTTATAATTACATAAATATTATCTAAAACGTTTTATAAATATGATACAAAATATTTGGTAACTGTCTTAGCTTCAACATTGTTTGTCTCATTTATACATAAGTCGAAAGATAACAATAAAAATATATATTGTAATAAAGCTGTTTTGAAAATACGTAAGGTAATATTTATACGTCCACAGGTCTATGTATACAGTATATTATTAGACTGCATAGATAAAGTCATCACTCAAATTAAGCCCGCAACAAATTCAAGCTCTGAACCGTCATCTAAGAATTAGTAGGTACGGCCCAGAAACACATTTCATATATTTACCGCTTATTGGCAAAAACAGCAAACAGCTTAATATTATCTAGTTGACCATTCCCGTTGTAGTATTTGAAACCGGTTTTATGTTAGGAGAATGTGATCAAATCAGTATTAGACACCTTTGAATTGCTTAACGTTTTGACCGGGGCCTCAGTTCTGCTATTTTAAGTTCACGTACAAGCCACTGTCATTCCATTGACACGCTATCTAGATGCCATTGATATCGGTAAAAAAATCGGTATTCTACTAACATAAATTCACAGTATCAATGGACTGTATGTGATGTAGTTATAATGGCTCATCAATGGTGATATCAACAACATCGCCAGGTTGACGACCGGATGGCGTAGTGGTTTGTGCAACGGACTGCCACGCCAAAGGTGGCGGGTTCAATTGCCGCTCAAGTAAAAAATTTGTGTGCATAAATATTTAATGCTTGATTTGGTCTGGGTGTTTCTATGTATAATATGTATGTATTTACAAAAAATAAATAATAGATGTGTTTAATTTTATTTCAACTGTCTAGCACCCATAGTATAAGCTCTTCTTAGTCTGGGACTAGATGGCGTTAAATGAATGTAGAAGCATATTATTATTATATCTGTAAAATTAAATTTATAATTTCCTTACAAATTTTAAAAGTACCATTTACCAGACCATTACAAAGACATCTACGACATTTTTATCAGTGGCAGGCCATTGATCTTACGTGGTTAGTAGAGTACGAAAAGTACAAAACTATTCCGAGGATAGTAAATCGACAGTCTTATGATACAATATTGAAATAGCGGAATTGAGGACTAGGTTGTACGGGCGTGGTGACAGGCTGAGAGGCAATCAAGTTTAATAGCGAATTATGAATTATATATCACGGAACGCGAAAGTTTAATGGTGCCTGTTTTTTGCCGGGAATATTACATCATATCTGAGAAAATTATGATTAAAATTAGTTTTCTGCAGATAGGTATATGAACTAAAATTTATTAAATAATGAACTACATACAAAACATAGGAAATTAAACATTATGATTTTGACATGTTGAAGATAATTTAGTTATTGTTATATGTCAGATAATTTTTGATAGTTCAAAGCTTAGAGGTGCTTTCATTCCATGAATTCCATATTTGTTTATTCTCCATAACACAGCAAAAATCGTCATAAGCACGCTTCATTAAAGTCATCGCTATCTATCATTTTACTTTAATTCATAGACTTAGATTTTGATTGATAATCCTAATTCAAATATCGTATATAATGTAGAAGCTTATTAAGATTAATATTATCTTATAAATCCGTAACTGTTTAACTAGTTATTCATAAAAAGAGATGGTTTAGAACGATTACAGAACCACTAAATAGATGTAAAATAAAGGCAAATACTTTTCTGTTATTATATTAAACTCACTCAGACTAGCAAAAGAAGGTTGACTTAACCGATGAAATAAACAAGTATTTTTTTAAATGAAAACTAGAGTTCTAGAAATGTTAAACTTCATATGTAAAGAAAATGGACAAGATATGTTAAGTATCGAATCTTTCTTTCAGCAGTTTTCGAAGATGAAATTTTCAAAAACCTAGAAACTTCATGATAAGTCATAAAGTTCGCCGTCATATCCGTGCGCTTCGATCCGACATAAATATGCCCGGCTAGCTTTCTGTCCTTCACCTCTAGCTTTTTAAATTCAAATGTGGGGCAGAATTTGATTATCAGTTGCTTTGAAAGCAAGAAAATCAGCATATTTAAGGCTTTCTCAGAAATGAGATTAAAGACCCCGAAAATATATTAATATTCAAGAGAGGAAAATTGTCTCAAAGTATGATTTCTTGCCAAATACTAGTATTTAACTATTTGGCTTATTGATTTATTTACTTTCAATTTATTTTTTTGAATTTCGGAAGGTTCGACCTAAAGCTCCTTCATCTGATTAAAGATACGCACAAACAAGCGCAAGTCGCATGTTCGATTACTAACTTACATATAGGTGGTTGTGTAAAATAAACATGAACCTGTTTCATTTAAATTAGTTTAATTTCGATTCGCCGGTTAGTGAGAAACCATTATGTGGTTACAGTTAAGACATTAATCTGCTTGTTACGCATAAACAAGTCATGATTTTTTGCAAATAATTGTAACAGTTTTACTGATTCCTTCGGAAACGATGATAATCTCTAATCTCCTATCTTATATCCTTATTTGTTACCAACTGTCCATAAGATGGAAAAAATGTGCTGTTACAATTTTCCACTTCTAAACTCCCACAAAATTTTAATATACTTACCACAAAGCTGAAACTCTAGAACAATGTTTATTAGACAGTAGTGTGTACACGAATTTTGTTAACTTATAATAAATTCTTAAAGTTATGCAGAACTCCGTTTTGGAAACGGAATGTTATATTACGGACACAATAAACTTAAACCTTAATATTATAATATGTATGTGTGATATATCTGAATCTTCAATAACAATTAAAAAAAAATATTGTATAAAACAATGGATATTTAAATCTACATAAAAACAGCATTTACAATGTTAAGTTCCCAGATAATTATTCAGTTTATTGCGATTTTGTTACTTTCACGATACTATTCAGCAGGAATAAAAAAGCAGCTTTACGAAAGCAGTTTTCTAATTACCTTTGAGACTTAGGGTGCCAATAATACCTTAAGCCTCAAAGGCACTAGCAATTTCCATGCGAGTAACAATTGTTCGAAATATTTCATGACAATAATATGTTATTTGTTACTCATTGTTAAATCTACAATACATTATACCAACACTAATTCATTTAAGGCTTTTCGAGGCAGACCTAAGACAGAAATCTACGCTGTTACATTAAATCATTTTTTTTTCTTTTTTTCCAATTGTATTGCTTCTTACTCTTTTCTTACCTTTTTCCTAAGATTATAGATAATAAGAAAGAAAGAAGAACATGTATTATATTCAAACTCTACATCTATAACTCCATTTCAAACATAGCCTTACCCACATTGACCCTTCTTGTTTCTTTAGTGTAAACTAGGGATGATTTATGTCCACAAAAGGGGTGTATTTTAGAAATATTTTATAATAGTGAATATGGGTAGTATTGATATAGGGTTAGCTGCCGGTCAACAGGCCCCTAGTAAAACTCGGGTCGTTTATTGTGGGTATAATCATAAATCTCACGCCACGATATCGTCTGGGGGCTAGGTTACGTAGGAGGATAATAATAATTACGATAGCTGGGGGAAGTATTCTCTGGTGGTTGGTAAAATAAGCACGACGTACTAAATGAAATAATACACTATAATTTACGTCTATAATTTTCTGGCTAAAAGATAATATGTATTTTTTTTAAAATATTTATTCTTATTTATTTTTCATTTAAAAATGTGTGTTTGGTGTATATATTTTAATACATATTATACATTTAAATAAATATATGTTACGTCGGTACTTACCACAGAATGCAATGAACGCTAAAAACTTCATGTTTATGCTAAACGAATCCATTTACATCATTTTTAGTCTTCCCACTGTAGCCGAACAAAACTCAGTCACATCCTATACTAATGACTTCACACTTTTAAGGTACGTTTTTATCTAACACAATACACATTTTAATACTGCCATCGCAAAAGTATTTATAAGCACACTCTTTTAAATTTTTAGGAAAGTTAGTTTTATAAGTTGACAGTTGGTTCACAGCACCGATCGCGCGCGTATTCCATATTTGAATGTCTCTACAGGGTGGCGAGGCGTGCTCACTTCTCGCGGCCCGTCCGCTTAATGTCCTTGGAGTTTCCCGCTAGGGCTGCGTCATGCGCACTGTGCTTTCCCCTTTAAGGGCCCTTAAGTGGATTAAGTTTTAAAACTTTGACAATTGATAAAATGAGATCCGGTTTGTTTTGATGAAATCATTAAGTGAAAAGTTGTAATGCCCGGTCTTTAATTGATAAATTAATGCATTTCGGAACCTTGTTGAAACTGCGTGATCAGAATATTTAAACATGGAAAATTACGATGCAGGAACGGATATTTACAAAATGAAGCGGCTTAGATGCCTGCAGAATATTAACTTACCTACTATTTGATAATGGTTTTATGTTAGTGTGAGGTTTCACACTAAAATAGTTGAATAATTGCTTGTCTTTGAAGTAAATTGACAAAAAGTTTACATACTCCTCTCATATGAATTATAGTTTGTCATTTGAAAATAATTCAAAATTTAATGGTTTACTGAGTATACGAAAACTATAATATAATTGAGTTCCTTTTAAAACTAAAAACGTTTCAATTTAATTTAATTTTTCTTTAAATCTTTTTAAATTAAAGGTTTACTTGTAAGGTGACTGATTCATGTTTGTTTCAACAATTGCATGTTTGCAAAGAGTAACATTGATGTATATGTAAATAATTATATACCTTGTATGAAAAACACTTTATTCATGTAACTTTTTGAAAACCATATATCTATTTGGTCGTAAAAGTTAATACTTACTTATTATTTTTCTTTATATGAATTTTATTTATAACATCAATATATGGTAAAAGACGTGCGTTGATTGACAGGATCCTGTACTCACGCAAACTAAACCGTAGGCAAAAATTACTTCAAATAAATACGATTTAACTAACTACCATTTTTTTAGTAATGAGATATAATTAATAATATTAATATAATACTTTCGGACACACAACGCCATATAGCTTTAAACTTAGCAGAGCTTGTACTATGAAATCTAGATTGACTGATAGAATACCTATATACTTTTTTTTTTGTAAATACATACATATTATACATAGAAAACACCTAAACTCCGAAACAAATATTTGCATATCATACAAACATTTGGTCCGACCCGATTACCGAGACCTCAGAACAGCAGTCGCATACGCTACCACTATACACCACCGAGGCAGTAGACCAATTGTGTGTCAAATGATGGACACATATTATGATTCGCCAATTAAAAAACCTAGTAAATATCTTAATTTGTTAATTTGGTCGATCGGTATTTACTAAACTCAAACACCATTGAGATACACCCATAAATAGTCCAATTGAGCTGATAATCTTACATTTACTATATATTTAACAATACGGTAATAAATTTCTCAAGAGAAATAACTAGAGTGCATTCCGTGAGATATCAAAACTAAATTACTTTTTATTTATTGCGTATATATTTCATAAAATGAAGAGAAATCCACTGGGTAATACTATTACACCTCGACAAATACAAACAATTTTCCTGTTTACCTGAAATAACGGAAAACACTAATATTAAAATAAATCACAAAATCAAAATAACTTAACATTACAATATGAAGATAGAAAAATGAAGAATCCGATGTAGTCTTTAAACCAACAATTATATCCTTCGTCTGGAATTGTCATTTTTCTGATACTATTATCTGATAGAAATTTGACTGTCACACCCTTATCAATTCAATTTTTCGTCATGAAATCTTGTTTTCTAACGTATATATATATATATATATATATATATTTACATATATATATATATGTAAATCTTCTTTTTGTGAAGATGTAAATAAGATTAGGTACATGCTCGAAGTAATAGCTGTTTATGTTACCGTTACGTAATGAGGGTCATTTATTCAATCATAAGTGATATTTTTGAATACGACATCTTAGCAGATATAAGAATGATAATGATATTTATTTACGGGTAGTAGCAAATTTAGTAGTTTTTTATTTAGTAACTTAGGAAAATGTAATAAATATAATATCAACGCAGCGCCTAAACCACTGATATTGAGCTGATCATTTTCTAGTTAGGAAATTTCATTCCAAAGGGGTAAAATTAGAGTTGAACGGTTGTTTGTTCGTTATTTTCAAAGTTTGAATTATTAAATAAGTAAGTGATAAGTCCTATGAACTCTTTTAGTAATAATAATAACGAGATAGTATCTTTTCACTACTTGAACTTTAAAGTGTTAAGTAGTCATGAAGGTTACAAACCTTTACTTCAAGAAATTTTACCATTGCAACGAGGGAGAAAATAGATTGGAACGAAATAGTGATAATATATAAAATAAAATAATAAAATTATGAATAGTGGTAATGCTTCTAGTTACGTAATTGGTCGACGGGGCATAAGTAGGCTACAGCATAAAAATAGCAACCACACAGGCAATATTACATTAACTTTTCAATCAGCTAACAGAGAATTAGCTGAACAGACAACAGAAGAACAGTAATACAGAAATATTCCTTTACATAATTCGTTTGAAGGTTTTATTTTTTGTTCATTACATTGTATTCAATTTTTCTTCGTTGTGAAGGAACTATTATAGGGCCTATGAACGCTTCAACAATTTTGTGAGAGAATTTAGTAATATAATCGCAGGACCTTTGCGCTTATGATATAAAAATCAATAACCATTTCAAAAGTACATATCGTATTTAAGTGTCAAGATTTTTCTCAAGTTTGATGTTTTTTTTTAATAATTTACATTATAAATATTCTTTAAATGAATCTTTAAAATAGTCAGAAAGATATCTGTAAAATAAAAGTAATAACTTGTGAAAGTTCCGTTTAAATAAAATAAATAAACTGTAAAATCTTATTAGTACTTATTTATTTTATTTAATAATAATTCCTACTGGTAATATCTTTAAAACAAATAATCTTTAAAACAAACAAAAATAATAAAACATGAACTTAATGCAAAAAAAATTGTGCCAGGCAATATTTCAACGTTCGTTATTAAAATTAATCTTATTAATATTATGGTAAGGTACTTATATTATGATTATTTAGGTTCATAATGGCAACCCCACCACTGCGATGGCACATACTGGCAGAATGGTGGACACAGCGCTCCACACACTGGCAGAATACCCGGCGTAGGTGGAGCAGAGGCGTTGCCTCGTGGCGGCCATCGGAGTGGGAGTTCTCTCGATCGGTAACATGATTGCCGCCATGGTACGGAGCGAGAGTTCGTGGAATTCCGCCGTCTCCTTCTGCGAGCAAATTATGAAGATGGCGGAGCGGGACCGGGAGAGGTTTAGAACTCTCCCGGAGCGCCAGGCCCGGCAACGGGCAAGGTACCGCAGACAACTCAGGCGCCGGTGGTCGCAGAATGACCTCCGTCCTCCATAAGTGCAGGCCTGGGGTTGGTGGTGAGGTCATCTGTCACCCTAGCAGAAGCAGGTCGGCGAGACGCACTGCGGGAGCCCAAAGGGGACATAGGGGTAGTCACACAGGAAGGGGTAATTTACACGCCATAGATGGCCCGAGGTACGTCGGGGTATCAGGGATTTCCTTCCACCTGGTTCCCCGGCAACTGGTACGCGATACGGCGTGTGGTTTTTGGTTCGAGTCCGACATAACCATCCGAGGGGATTTCGGCACAGAAAGAAACTCATAATGGCACCCAGAAAAAGAAAGAAATTAAACGTAAGAAAAATTCAAGCCATCTCTCAACATTTTTAAACTACAATAATTACCTTATTAATGATATAACGACCTTATAAATAAAATGAACAAAAAAAAATCATACTTACTTTTTAATTAATACAAATAGGCCATAAACATGAATCTCAATAATTATCATGAAAATAGATTAAGATGGAATCTCTCATTTTCGACTATTTTAAATAATATATTAAATAGTATATTTATTGGAATTTTCTTAATATTTGAAAAAAAAAATACATTTTATAGAATTTGTCAGTATAGTAGTATACATAAAAGTTTACTAATATTATGTTCCTTGAAATAGCTCTATTAAAACGTTCTAATAGATGTAGATACCTCGAAACATCTATAGAATTACTTACATCTTAACCTAAATCCATTTCCACTACAAACTCCAATATCAACGAGTGCTAAACTATCAAAGTACGATATTTTTTGCGGTTAGCATGTAAACAATTCAGATATAGGCAAAAATAGGCAAACTTGGAACAAATATTCGACAAAGAGAGAAAGTAATTTATTCGTCGTACGTCATATTTTGCACCCCGCGGCCGTCGTAAAGTTTGCTTACTTTACGCGTATACATAATAGTGAAATTTCCTACGTGACGGCACATTGGCAGACTAAAATTTCGTATAAATTTTAGATGCGTTTTACTATTTAGGTATGTTTGAAGCGTGACAAAGTTTTGGGAGTAACCTTTGCGAGAATCAACGCTGTGCTTAAAATTTTAAATTCAAATTGTGGAGAGAAAAAGTTCTCTTGTTAAGCAAATATGTTTGTTATTCGACACCTCACTTTAACATAAAATTTGTGTCATTTTTATTTATTTAGTTTACATAATGTACATGTATGTGTTGGTATTGGTACTATTTTTAAATCTACCCAAGTACCGATCTCTAACACTATTTTTGTAAGAATGTCTCAGAAGAGGATAAGTACTAACCCATCTCTATCGACTACGAATGTATGAACCATCCTCTACGTAATTTGTGTCAGAGGTTAGAAGATTTTTTTCCGATGTTTTTTATGGTAAAAAAA